TCAAATTTAACTAAATTGGGTAGTTCTGCCTAAATTGCAAAGCCTTTCAAAATCTGGCTTCAAATTTCTACACAATTTACCTGTCTTATCCTTCTACCTGAACCTCTTGTTCTAATCAGTCTGGCCTAACCTGAGTAGCTGTCCATTGCTCATTCTCTAGATAGTATTTGTTTCTACGTCTCTACTTTTGTTCATTCTGTTTCCTGCGTGGATTAACACACTCTCTTTTCCTATCTAAATCCTACTCATTCTTTAAGTTCTAGCTTGAAACTAGGGATTTATAAAACTCTCTCTGACCAATCCAGCCCATAGTACACAGGTATACAATGCCTTGTCTTTACAATGATAGTAGAGAATTATGGATTGTCAATCTCAGGAAATTTAGATTCAGTTTTTATCTCTGCTACTAGTAGTATAATGCTGAGCAAGTTACTTAACATCTCTGGGTTTCAAAATCTGTCTTTCTAAGGTAAAAGACTGTAAGAACTCCAATAGTACTGTGTTCCAAACAGTGTGAGAAAACATATCTTAGGAAATGTATTTTAATATATATGTAATGTTTATTAATTAATGATTTTCAAATATAGCTGTTAATTCTCAGGTATTTGAAGCATCCCTCTTGTAGTCTTCATAGTACTATTAAATTAAACTCTTTTTAAATAACAGGTATAGTAAGCAAAGGCCAACTAGTCCAATTCACTTCAAAGAGTTACAAAATCTTACTCTTCTATTTTACATTGATTGTCAAAATTATGGCAGGAGAAAAGAATAAGAACTGAGAAACAGAATCATATAGAATTTAAAAACCAGGGCTGGGAGCGATGACTCATGCCTGTAATCCCAGCACTTTGGGAGGCCGAGGCGGGCGGATCATGAGGTCAAGAGATCGAGACCATCCTGGCAACATGGTGAAACCCCATCTCTACTAAGAAATACAAAAATTAGCTGGGCATAGTGGCATGCAACTTTAGTCCCAGCTACTTGGGAGGCTGAGGCAGGAGAATGGCTTGAACCCCAGAGGCAGAGGCTGCAGTAAGCCGAGATTGTGCCACTGCACTCCAGGCTGGGTACAGAGTGAAACTCCATCTCAAAAACAAACAAAAAAGTCCCCAAAAAACTAGACTCAAACCCTTTCTAATGACACAAATAGAGCTGTCACTTTCTACCTTTACCTGTCATAATTGAGTAAGGTTCTGTGCTTATTGACATTCTTTTTTTTTTTTTTTTTTGAGATGGAGTTTTGCTTTTGTTGCCCAGGCTAGAGTGCTGTGGCCCAATCTCAGCTCACTGCAACCTCCGCCTCCCAGGTTCAAGCAATTCTCCTGCCTCAGCCTCCCCAGCATCTGGGATTATAGACATGCACCACCATGCCTAGCTAATTTTTGTATTTTTAGTAGAGACGGGGTTTTGCCATGTTGGCCAGGCTGATCTCCAACTCTTGATCTCAGGTGATCCACCCATCTCGGCTACCCAAAGTGCTGGGATTATAGGCATGAGCCATTGTGCCCAGCCCTTAGTGACATTCTTTAGCTATTTCTCTCTCTGCTTTAAGCCTCAGGTACAGTTTGTCCCATGATTCCGCTTGTTTCCTTGGAGAGCTTTACCCGGATGCTTCTGTGTAACAATATTTGCTTTCTTTAGCAAAAGGCTAAATAGAAAAAATGAAGGAGGGCAGCCTTCATAGAGTATCAGTAGATTGTAGATTAAATATCTTGTTTTCTTTGCTAAATTCCCAGTACAGATTTCCATTAGAACAATTATAAATTTTTTCCTCCCACATTGCACCTCTGCATTCTACACTATTCACTCTGGACCTCTTCAATATAGCACTCTAAGACTAAGAAAGCCTAGATTTGCATCCATTGTTTTTTTTTTTTTTTTAATTGATCTCAGTTTGACATAAGGTATTACTATCAAAGAAAAGGGAATACACTAGAGATTTGTCCATTCACTGAATTGCCTTAACCTGTTTATAGTTTTGTTGTTCTTTTTTTTTTTTTTTTGAGACAGAGTTTCACTCATGTTACCCAGGCTGGAGTGCAATGGCGCGATCTCGGCTCACCGCAACCTCCGCCTCCTGGGTTCAGGCAATTCTCCTGCCTCAGCCTCCTGAGTAGCTGGGATTACAGGCACGCACCAACATGCCCAGCTAATGTTTTGTATTTTTTAGTAGAGACGGGGTTTCACCATGTTGACCAGGATGGTCTCGATCTCTTGACCTCGTGATCCACCTGCCTCGACCTCCCAAAGTGCTGGGATTACAGGCTTGAGCCACTGCGCCCGGCCTAGTTTTGTTGTTCTTTATACTGTTTTCAAAGTATATTTTGGAGTTAAATGTAATACCAACATTATCAGAAAATATCCACCATAAATTAACATTGTGGGCCCCAGACAAATATCAGCATACCAACATGTTAGACTTTCAATGATGTTTTGGCCTTTAGAGTACTTCAAGATAATGGCAGAATATATAGTATATTAAGTAACCTCTTTTTAAAAAAATACAAAAGTATAACAGTAAGAGGGAGAATGGACAGACTTATAGTCCCAAACAACTTAGGGTAAAAATAATTGAAAAGTTCCCTTCTCCCTTTTGATATTTCTTAGAGCTCATTAACACATTTAGAGGTAGGGCCAGAGCTACTGGTAAGAGGGAAATAACCCTAAGAATCTGGTGTTTTGTTCCAGGAAGTTTCAGGCCTGCTTGCCTTATCTTTGTGTTTTCAAATTCTTGGATTTATCCCATCTCTTCTGAGAGGCTGATTTTGGTCTTTGAAAAAGCTGTATCTGCATAGGATAGTTTTTAGGTACTTGTATCTGAAAGGATACGTTACTGCTCAGGCCCGAATTCAAATAACTGGCTTTGTTTTTCCCTTTCCTTCCTTTTTTTTTCCTTTTCTAAAGTAGGTTATTTCTATTCCCTTCCTTGGATTAGGGACCCTGGACAGGGTGATGCTAGGTAACCTATATGCTGGCTTTACAAGCATGGGCTCTAAGTTGGCTGGTTACTTACTGATGAACTTTTTTTTTTTTTTTTTTTGAGATGGAGTCTCACTCTGTTAGCCAGGCTGCAGTGCAATGGTGTGATCTCAGCTCACTGCAACCTCTGCCTCCTGGCAGCTAATTTTTGTATTTTTAGTAGAGATGGGTTTTACTATGTCGGCCAGACTGGTCTTGAACTCCTGACTTCAAGTGATCCACCTGCCTTGGCTTCCCAAAGCGCTGGGATTATAGGCGTGAGCCACCACTTCCAGCCAAACTTCTTTAGAACTAAACATCCGTGTAAATACAAATGGTGAAGATTTTAAAAAGAATGACATTTGAAAATGCATCAGCTTCTACTCCAGTGACCTCATAGAAAGAAAAAAAAAATCAGAAGGAAAGAAGAGAACTTCAAAAGGTTACATGACACAAAACCCACTACCTTTCAGGTTACTGGCAAAGTGCTATGTCCAAGGTTTAGACCAGGGGTGTCCAATCTTTTGGCTTCCTTGGGCCAAATTAGAAGAATAATTGTCTTGGGCCACACATAAAATACACTAATGATAGCTCATGAGCTAAAAAAAAAAAAAAAAATCGCAAAAAAAAAAAAAATCTCATAATGTTTTAAGAATGTTTACACATTTGTGTTCAGCCACATTCAAAGCTGTTCTGGGTTGTATGTGGCCCATGGGCCAAGGGTTGGAGAAGCTTAGTTTATTTGTTTATTTATTTATTTTTTGAGACAGAGTCTCACTGTTGCCCAGGCTGGGGTGCAGTGTTGGGGTCTCAGCTCACTTCAGCCTCCGCCTCCCAGGCTCAAGTGATTCTTATGTCTCAGCTGGGATTACAGGCATGATCCATCACACCCAGCTAATTTTTAAAATTTTTAGTAGAGATGGGGTTTTTCCATGTTAGTCAGGCTGGTCTCAAACTCCTGGTCTCAAGCAATCTGTCCACCTTGGACTACCAAAGTGTTGGGATTAGAGGCATGAGCCACTGCGCCTGGCCTGGACAAGCTTAGTTTAGACTGTGTCTAGTTTGAGCCTAAGATAAAGTTCATAGCATGCCTTGTCAGAGCATACCTTGTGAATGGTAGGTCAGAACCTCTTCAAAAGCACATTTGAGTTTTGGGAAGGTACTCATCATAAGGGAAGAAAGATCCATGATTAATGAGGTCTACTCAGTGATGAGGTAGTGATAAGGGAGAAAGGGGATTATAGGTGATGGATACATCATGGGTATTTATCACTCAGATCTGTCTCTTAGCCTTGTCTCCACTGGGTTGATGTTTGAGTATTACTAAAAGCAGGTGTAGCTCCATTGAATTGGAAAGAGTTTGAAAGATAGCCAGGCAACAGTGTTGCATGATACTGGGATGTTCAGAAAGTGTAGACTTGCTTTTGATCACATGTGAGACAGCACTGGAGATTCACAGAAATACTTAGAAAACCTAGCAGAGGGCTGAGTTAATTCAGTAGATGGGGGTAATATGCTCTTAAAGATGAGTAATTACAGTCAATGTGCTTCCCTTTGCACTTTGAAGTAGGTGAAGCCTGGAGAAACAGGTTACATAAAGATACAAAAATCAATACAGAAGTCATAGAAACAATTGTACTTAAACTTCAAATAATTAGGTAGTGCTAATTTTGACAATCTTGCTTTCTCTTCTTACCTATGTTTTTCTTGTCTTTCTTGAAAGAGGTAAAAATATGAATCAGAATAATGCCATCACCATCAGCTCCACTGGGATAAAGCCAACACTATTACAAAAAAGTCCTATGAAACCTAACACACCTACAGGAAAGTAAAGTATTTCTCTTGTTTTCAGAGGCATTCCAAGAAATCTTTATCTCTGAAGGACACAGATACCTCCATAATTCTTTGGGTTCTGAAGAATGAGGTAAGTGAAAATTATGACATTAAGTTTCTATCTCTTTAGCAGCAACTCCATGTAGTGAGTACTCCAAAAACTCATATTTGTACAATAAAAACTTTCCAGAATAACATCCAACACTTACTTGTCTCCTACAATACCTAAGTTGATTGTGGGGTAGCCATGTTCCTGAATTGTTGCTAGAAGAGTTGAACGATTGCTGTCTCGAATCTTCCCTGGTAAGAGGTCATCTTCAGGATTTAGCAGCTACAAAGCCAAAAAAACCACCACAAATTATTCTATTAGGATAATGTTGCATATTTCTAACAAAAAAAGATCCACTAAACAGAGTTTAGCACATCTAGCACCTACAACAGTATCTGGCATTTTGAAGGTGAATGCCCAAAGGATCTTTATTTTTTTTTTTAATCGCACTTTAGGTTCTGGGGTACATGTACAGATCATGCAGGATTGTTGCATAGGTACATACATGGCAAAGTGGTTTGCTACCTTCCTCCCTCCGTCACCTATATCTGGTATTTCTCCCCACATTATCCCTCCCCACCCCCTGCTGTCCCTCCCCTAGTCCCTGCCAACTGACCGCAGTGTATGATGCTCCCCTCCCTGTGTCCACATGTTCTAATTGTTCAACACCCGCCTATGAATGATACCATGCAGTGTTTGATTTTCTGTTCTTGTGTCAGTTAAATAAATATCGAAATTATAGTAGGATGAGAAAATGTTCAAAAAATTCAAAAAACACTCAGAAATTTCACCGGTGATTGAACTGCAGGCCAAATATCCTACCAGGTTTCACTCCAATTGGATAATAATGCTCTGGAGATGGCCAAACTAAATAAAACGATTATCTTTTTTTCTCCCAATATTATTTTTCAATTTGTCTTTCATTGGGAATATTTAAGGTATACATTGTGTGACATGACATTCTTAAGTTTGAACAGAATAATTGTTTGTATTTTCTTTCAAACTTTTTGGTCTATTTCCTGAAGTGGGGTCAACAGTATCAAAGAAGTTAAGCTTACATGAAGGAGAAGACGACAGATGTTTTGTCTCTGATACTAGCAAACTTAATACTTAGCTACATGTACACACAATTCCAGTATGCTGAACTTAATTAACCTTTAGAGATTTAATACCTACTATGTCTATGAAGAAAATTAAAGAAGCTTATTTTATCTTAGGATGTTCCAGTGAGGTAGTCAGATTGTACAGTTGGAAGAGCTTTGGGTTAAAACAGGGTTCAAATTCAAGTTGACAAAATTCTTTGTCTTAATTTTCTCATTTATAAAATATAGTAATAATAACTACTTTGCAAGGTAATTGTTAGCATTGAGATAATGAACACTCAATTTATGCAGATAAATGTACAATAAATGTGATTCTCTTTCCTTTCTTTATGACATATGATGTTGAAAGAACACCTGCTTTCCTCTCAATTGTTCTCATATTGTTACCCCTATATGCTAGTACAGATGAAATTAGTTTATAATGTGAACACAGACTATTAAATTATAAAATGCCTAAGAGTAAGGGGTCCTTAGTGCACACACATTCTTACAGCAATTTATGTATCAGTTTTAAGATATGCTTTGATTTCAGAAATTATAAAGTAAAAAAAAAAAAGTACTTATTTGAAGTGAGAAAACCTGGACTACTAATTTAGAAGGTTAAAGGCAAGCCTGCACATTTAAAATTTTTAAGATACTAATATGGCCAACACCAGAGCTTCATATATGAATTCTCCCAAACAGTAATCACAAGCCCCTGATCTTCCTTCAGACTCATTAGTGATATTATGTGGCTGGACTTTTGACTTTCTATTGGAAAAGCAGAAGTTTTGCAACCAACTGTCCCCTTCCAATAGACTACAGGAAAACTCTGACCATCTTATTCAGTGTCACCAGGGAGTCTTCCCTTCAAATACTGTACTAATTTAACTTAATCAGATGCCATGTGACATTGCAACCCACTTTCATTCTTACTCACTGGCAGTGCTTAGAAAATTGCTATTGCAATGCTAATATAGATTAACTTTCTGATCTTAATTAACACAGTTATTAAAGTGATTATCATTTTATAAGGGGCAAGGCTTGCAGCTCTTTAACTCCATTAATCAAACCAGTTGCTTTAGAAAGAAAACTGGTTATATCATTTTTTTTTCAAAGCAGGGTGCTGACCATTAACTAAGGTTCCTCTGTTATCAGGGTGTTTTCTTTGCTATTCATGCTCTTCTCTGTTATTTTGCTGCAAACAGTTCCAGAAATAACAGATAATTAGAGATCACTGGAGAACCAGTTATTTGTCTGTAAAATTGACATAATGAAATAATAGCTAGTTAAATGAGGGTGTAGGATTTATAGTGCATTTTAGGTAATTTCAAAGAAAACAATACAGAATTAAATAGAAGAGTATGAGGCTAAATATACTAGAATAAACTCACAACTTTCCCTTTTAAAACTGAATCTTATTTTCTGTTATACTTCCAGTCATCTTGGGAATGATGTCTGAAATGTATTATAGTTTCAAAACAAAAAGTAAAACAAGACATAACCCATCATCTCCATATCAAGCCACCAAGTTCAATTTCCTATTTTTGGTACTATCAATGGTGCCACTATCTTCCCACCTTTTTTTTTTTTTTGAGATTGAGTCTTACTCTATCACACAGGCTGGAGTGCAGTGGTTCATTCTCAGCTCACTGCAACCTCTGCCTCCTGGGTTCAAGCAATCCTCCTGCCTCAGCCTCCCGAGTATCTGGGACTACAGGTGCATGCCACCACACCAAGCTAATTTTTGCATTTTTAGTAAAGACTCGGTTTTGCCATGTTGGCTAGACTGGTCTTGAACTCCTGACCTCAGGTTATCCACCTGCCTCAGCCTCCCAAAGTGCTTGGATTAGAGGTGTGAGCCACCACAGTTGGCCACTATCTTTCCACTTTTTAAATATTTAATTCTCTTTTTCTCCTTTGTACTCCACTCTTTCCAAAGGCCTCAATCATTAAGAATATTTTAATCCATCTCTTCCTTGGCCCTACATTTTCATTCACTCTCTTACTACCCCCCAAAACAATTCTAAGCATTCATTATATTATGCCTAAATTTCTGTGAAAGCCTTATAACTGGCTGCCTTGCCTATAAACTATTTCCTTCTGAGAAATAAAACAGAAACCTCAACTTGCAAAAGTATACCATTATTTGCATAACAGCTAAACTGTACTAAACCAAGACATGTAACTTGAACTACCTTACGTTAAATTGCTTCTAATACAAGCTTGTTCAGATCTATATACTTTAAGATAAGCTCATGGACAACTTGTTTTAATAGTAACTCCACATGGACTCATATGCTCTGAACATAAGACGGATTGTGATCCACCAATTCACCTATCTTACAGATTCTGACCAGTCTCTGCTCAGACCTTGCTTAATAAATTCTACGTTAAAACTACCCCACGATCAACCCTAGTCCTCAAAATCCTATAAACACCCTCATAAAATTTTATGACTTCCCAGTTGTGAAACATTACTGAGACTCTGTTGAAGGGTAGCAGGATATGCCATCCCAAAATATGCCAGTTTGGCATAACAATTATTTTTGAGCTGAAGGCGCTGAGAAGAAAAATATAAGAAAAGGTCTCTGCCTTTCTCCTAATTTGCCTAAAAGTAGGACATAAGTTAACAAACCTATCTTTCCCAACACCCAGGAGGGATAAATCTTTGGACACTTAGCCTGCAGATGGCACCAGAGGAGTTTATATATCAAACTTTATTAACTAGCCTTTAATCTATCATTAGTTTCCCATATATTTGCTTTCCCACAAATTGCTGGCCCTAGAGACTCAAGGTCCTTTTATTTTTTTGTGTGTCTCATCACTTCTCCAAGAATGTATTGTTATTTGCTGAAGATGCTATTTTTTTTTGTTTTGTTTTGTTGTTTTTTAATTTTGAAGATGTTATTTAAGCCAGACTTCTCAGCCATCACTTCAGGAGTTACTAATTTTCCTTTGGGTATCTCTCCCCATGTATACATGGGAGATCATTATTCCTAAGATGTCACATCATTCCCAAGACGACTGGGAAGTATAACAGAAAATAAGATTCAGTTTTAAAAGGGAAAATTGTGAGTTTATTCTAGTATATTTAACCTCATACTACTCTTCCATTTAATTGTGTATTTTTTTTAATTACTTAAAATGCTCTGAAATTACTTAAAATGCCACATATACATGTTAAGTAACTTCTGTTTTTTTTTTTTTGTTGTTGTTAATATGTCTTTTATAGAGGTCACAGGTAAGAACTCTTAAGATTAGAGGAAATATTATTTTTTCCTCCCCAACATTGCCAAGGTGATGTTTTCTTTTGCTCAGAAACTTTAATATAACCATTTTGTATGATTAACAGGTTTCCCTGGTGGTCTTTGTATTAGGATTTTGGTATTAGGAAAATCCTATCAAGACTTAGGCAGGAAACCTTGCCACCAGTTTTATTATTGGTTATACTGTATTTCAGTGAGGTCTCTTAAGGCTTTTTGCTTGGGGGATTCCTTGTCTATGATGCTTAGATAATTCTAGCCCTTGTTTTGAGGTCTGATCCTTTTTTGTTGAACTCCCAAAGACAGCTGATATTGATTTTGTTCTAAGTATAACGTTTCCAGAATTGTTTGATTATCTGATTGGATGTATACTAATTTTTGTTTTTCCTACTAAAGGTCTGCTAAAGTATTGATTTGAAACTGGCCATCCTATCTGTCAATTGGCCACATTGTTTTGTGCCTATAAGAACTTTTCTTAGTTTTGCCTATGAGAAACTGACTTTGGGAGAAATTTCCTCTCTACCCATTCTAGCTTGTTGATTTTTAGAGTTAGCTGTCAGGGGTCCAACCTTTACTGTAGAGGACTTTGGATACACTGTTTAAGTGCTATTTTTCCCTTTTGAATAACCATTAGCTAATGAATTCATAGTTTCATTTAATAATAAACTTGCACTATCTCCAGGCATAACTCTGGCTTCTGTTTTGTTTTGTTTTTTTTTTTTTTTTTTTTTTCACAAATTTATCTTTCTAAAAAGCATAATTTCATCAAGGACAACTTGGAATTGCAGTGGCCATTTTGAAGTACTTTTGATATAACCACAATTATTCACTTAAAAGTACTTTTAGAGACTTAATTAATCCGATAGTCTTGAGGGAATTATCAAGAGCCTAAGACACTATTTAAACTGGCTGTAATGACCCTCCCTTTCTTTCTCATGTATTGAAATGGATTTGCTTGCATTTAAGACTTTTCCCCTCTTTTCAAAGAGAAGATGATTAGACATTTATAGTGGTCAGCTCTTTACATATTTGTGGTAATCATTTCACTTTCTTTCTCTGTCTTCTGGAAACTTAACTTTTTAACTGATCAAAATTCAATTCTGGCTATTATGGACATACCTTAGAATACCAGATAGTTCAGATAAATAGGTCTAACACAAAAAGAGGGAGAAAAGTCAATGAGCTCTGATGAAGCATGTTGCTGCTCCAAATAGCTTTTAATAAAACTCTGGGGGAAAAAAAGAGGCTTAACTGAGAGTTAAGCTAATTGCCTTGCTTACTAGGTTATAAGATAAGAAGGGAAGAGAAACATTCAGAGCTTTTAAACATAATTTAAGGAGTCGTTAAGAATTTGTTTTGGAAAAACAGAGGTTCACAAATTATATTAGAAAATAATTAATATAATATTTCCATTAAGATGACTCTGGACAGATTTGACTGGTTTAATAATTTTGGCTTAAAACTGTCCTGTGAAGCAGCTGTGGTAGCATGAGCCCATAGTCTCAGCTGCTTGGGAAGTTGAGGTGGGAGGATCACTTGCGCCTAGAAGTTTAAGGACAGCTTGGGCAAAATGGCAAGACTCTTTTTCTTTCTTTTTTTATTCTGAATGAGTTTTCCTTTTTAAAAAAAAAATTTATTTCAATAGCTTTTTGGGGGAATAGGTGGTATTTGGTTACATGAATAAGTTCTTTAGTGGTGATTAGTGAGATTTTGGTGTACCCATCTCCTGAGCAGTATACACTGCTGTTTTTATTTCTTCTCTCTCTCTCTCCTTCTTTTTTCTCTCTTTCTCGCTCTCTCTCTCCCCCCTCACGCTTTCTTCTCTTTTTTTTTGAGACAGGGTCCTTCTCTGTCTCCCAGGCTGTAGTGTAGTGGTATGGTCATTGCTCACTGCAACCTCTGCCTCAGCCTCTTGAGTAGCAGAGACTACAGGGGCATACCATTGTGTCTGGTTAATTGTTGTATTTTTTGTAGAGACAGGGTTTTGCCATATTGTCCAGGCTGGTCTTAATCTCCTAGCTTCCGAGTGATCCATCCATCTCAGCCTCCCAAAGTGCCAGGATTATGGGCATGAACCACCACAGGTTGCATATCTAAATTTTAATATGCACAGTTTGTTGAAATCAACAAATATCTAAACCAGCTATTCCATATTAACTATAGTTGATAACTATATCCCCAATTTTGAAAATTTCCTGGTCTTTAACAAGCTCATACAGTAATAAAATACTGGGCAGGTTTTAAGGAGTATACATAGACATCTTGTATGGCTATTCTTTGGGTTGCCAAGGCAACTGTCCTGCCTACCAATATGTCATATGAGATTCAAGAAGTGGACATATGTGAAAGCATATATATCTTTTTTTCTTTTTGAGAGGGAGTCTCGCTCTGTCACCCAGGCTGGAGTGCAGTGGCATGATCTCAGCTCACTGAAACTTCTGCTTCCTGGGTTCAAGCAATTCTCTTGCCTCAGCCTCCCAAGTAGGTGGGACTACAGGCATACACCACCATATACGGCTAATTTTTTTATATTTTTAGTAGAGACGGTATTTCGCCATGTTAGCCATGCTTGTCTCAAACTCTTGATCTCAAGTGATCTGCCTGCCTTGGCCTCCCAAAGTGCTGGGATTACAGGTGTGAGCTACCATGCCTGGCTAGAAACCATATGTATCAAAGGAAACTAAAACCAATACTTAAGGGAAGTTTGTACTGTGATTGGGTAAATTATGGCCTTGCCACATTAAGTGCAATTTCTTTTGCCCTTTCTGAAAATAAATGATTTTTTTTTTTTTTGCTATTGTTTTCTGGGTGTCTGTGAATCTCAAGCCTTCAGGAGAGACAATATGCTTTATTTATCTCTTTTGTCACCAATTTCCACTATAATGCCTGGCACAGAGGTAGCAATTATCTGTTGAACAATACTAACCTATAGAGTCATAATAAAAACTAACTTTGAATGGGAAAAAGGGAGGAATGTTGAGCTATATGGGACCAGAGATTCTAGAATTTAGAAGCATTATTCTCTTGGAAAACTGTGGTATACTTTAATATAACAGGCCTGTTTAAGTAGGGGAATGAGTCATGCAGAACTAGTCAAAGCCTCTTCAAGAATAATAAGCTCTATGGGGGCAGGGAAGTAAGATTACAAACTCTTCCCTAGATTTCATGATATAAGTACCATCTCTATTCTCATACCATCACCTTAGCCTACTTCCAGTAAATAGTTTTAATTGAGTGTAAAAGGTGGCTTAAAAAAAAAACAAACTAAAAATATGCTCTGTGGGATAATTGAGAGAATGAGTCTGGCCCTATAAAAGCTGGACTCATGAGAGGGAAATATGAGCAATATAGCTTAAACAAAGTTTCCTATTAACTAAATAGTTATTTATGAGTGTGTTAATTCTTATTTTACTTTATTTCGAGAAAGGGTCTTACTCTTTCACCCAGGCTAGAGTGCAGTGGTGCCATCATAGCTCACTGCAGCCTTGAATTCCTGGGTTCAAGTGATCTTCCCTCCTCAGCCTCCCCAGTAGCTAGGACTAAAGGCATGTGCTACCATGCACAGCTGTTTTTAATTTTTTAGTAAAGGTAGGGTCCCACTATGTTGCCCAGGCTGGTCTTGAACTTCTAGTCTCAACTGATCCTCCCTAAGTGTTGGAATTACAGGTATAAGGCACCACACCTGGGCCATGAGTGTGCTAATTCTGTTTTGCTTTCTCAAACTCCATGAACTTACTTGATGCACAAAGCATGTAAGTAAATCATAAAAGAGAATGGTTCATGAGTCAGCCAGTTTAACAGAAATTTATTTCTGATGATAAATATAGTGTTATTTGGTCCAAAGGATATTAAAATCATCACTGTGTAGATCAAATTAAAAAGAATGTTTGTTTTCTGTCAACTGATAATTTTTAGAAATGACAAATACATGTATTTTTGGAAGTAAGCACATCTGGAATGCTGATTTAGCTCTCCATTAGCAAAATAAAATAGTTTATTCTTTTGCTTTAACCAAAAGAACTATAAGGTCCTAAAACGACCTTTGAAAATTTTCATTTCCAAGACTTCAAGAAATTAAAAATAATGATGGGTTTATTTTCAGAACAAAGAGGTTTTTTTAAAATCCCATTAATTTTTCTGTAATAGTAAGGTCAGAGGAATTATTAATACTTTAAAAATCTCAATAGTTTCTGATTCTTCTATAAGGTTCTGAGTTTCCAGCAGATTCACTTTTTACTATTCTCCATTTGACCTTAGAGTTTCTGACTGAAGTTTTGCATAACCTAAGCAAAACAGGCAATAGCAAGTTTTTCAAGAGTTCTCAGAGAGAGATGGACTGAATTCTCTTTTCTAAATCAGGAATGAAATGACATTTTGACCCATTCTGAATACCATGCCACTAGAGATGCTCTAGAGGGAGAGAGAGAAAACCTGATTATCAAGTCCCTCTTGGTGATTAAAGATTACATGAAACTTTTCACAAGAAGTGCTGGCCATGATGTCCTGATTCACTGATACTTACCACACAGAAGTTGCCTATCATTTCAACAGCAGGATGGGCACAATTCATTATCTTAACGGACTCAGTACTGAGTTTGCATAGTTTAATATCTACAGCTAGCAGCTAAAATTCTTTGTTTATGTATACTGAATATGTGGAAAGGCCTTTGGTTATAATATTTCATTCTAGTAAGTAGAAGAGAACATTTCATAATACATATTTTTTTACTGGTTCTTCCTTGTTCTTCATATTCTGAGCTTGAAACTATCCTAAGGTCAATTTATGGTTTCTCTGCTACAAGAATGTGGATCCACTGGTATGATCTATAATATACAACATTCTATTTACAACACAAAACAGATGTCAGAAATACCTTTATCTTATAGGCCCTCCCCCCACTTTTATTTTTAATACCTCATTCCCTGTTGACATGACTGCAACCACTGGAAACTTGTTAACTTCAACCTCTGTGACACCTACAGTTGCTAGAAGACCAATCTCTGAGGGGCCCATGTGGGTTCCTTTGGCCAAAACACATTCCCCTCTTTTAATGTCATGGCCAATGGGTCTGAAAGTCAAAGCAGAACCATAAACAGTGTGATTAAGAACAACATTTTCTCAACTCATGAGGGAAACTTTAGTGTCAAAAGAGGAAGACATTCAAGAGGAGAAAAAAGTCAAGAAATAAAGTAGTAGAAAAATAATGAAATGAAGGGATTCTAAAAATCCTATGCTTTTTTAATTTTAAAAGTTAAACCACACAACAGAAAACAGAAATAGGATTGGATTATATTACTGCTAAAGAAGAACCTGTGACTTCATATTTGAAATTTTGTTTTCTTGAGTACCTGTGAAGAAAATTACAAATTGTTTTGTGCTACATTATAGTAAAACTACCAATTGCAAACTTTCTTTGATAAGGCAAGAATCTGTATCAAAGTATCTAGCAGCATTGATGATAAGAGGTCCACAGCTGGCTAGCTTTGTGGCAAGGAGAATAATGCTAATGAGGTTACAGTCATAGAGGTAATTTCCACTTAGGTTGGTCCTGATCTGTGGCCACAGAGGTACATTCACCTTGGTGTGCTGCCATAAGGATGGGAGAAGTGTAGTTTCATTACAAAGGGATGTTCAGCAAATTAGTATTAATGGAATCAAGGTAAACATACTCCATTGTAAGAAAAATAATTTAAGGTATACACACTATTTATTATAGGACAATAGCGTCATCTTTGTATATAAAGAGGAGCAGATTATTCCCTTATTATTGGTGCTCAGTAGAGCATATGCTATAAGTTAATTGTGTAAATATCCAATTCTGGGATTATCTGAGTTAATACCAAATTCTAGATTACTTAGGGATGGGACTGGGTAATTTTGGATTATCTAGGAGTAGAATTAACCATAGAATATGTAGGGTCATGACTTTACCTCTTTCTCATCTTGCTTTTGACTAACTTGCCTTTACCATCCTTCATTAAAAAGTAGGTAAGGCAGAGATGTGAAACAGAATTCATTTTTCTTCTTGTTAAAGCTCTGAAAATTAATGGCTAATTGACATGGCTACAGATTTATAGTACCCAGGGTTTCCTGAGTAAATGATCATGTAGAAACAAAAGTGGGCCAAAAAAACCCAAAAAACAAAAAACAAAAAAAAAAAAACAATGACTAAAGAGAGATGGGTGTAAAAAAAAAAAAAAAGAAAAGAAACAAAAGTGGGCTATATATTGTATGTGTTTTGAAGTTACCTGATATCTTGGCCTGGCCGAGCTTGTACCAGAATTCGCACTTCAAGTTCTTCAGTGCCCTATAATAAGAGGAGCAGGTTATGTAATTTCAAACAGAATTTCTGAGCAGTAGAATTTAGCTACTCAGATACTTTTGTGATCAGATAGGCCTAGGATATATACAAATATAGAGAAACCAAAAACTATTTGCCATACCTTTTGAAAACACTGAATTTCTAACATAGGCTCCTGAAAAATTAGGTTTGGTGCCAATAAATAAAATTTTTTTGCTCTAATTTTTATGTTTTTTAAAAATATACCAATTGAAATATTAAATCTTGCTTTATAAGATTTAACATTTGAACTAGTACATTTATATATATACTTTATATATTTATATATTATATATCTGTAGATGGATATAGATGGCTACCCTAACAAAGTGTGCATGGAGATAATATCTTTCTTCTTTTCCCATGAATCACGAGTTCAATACCATGCCAAGGTTACCAAATACCTGCAGAAATTTCAGTAAAGGACTTATAGTTTGCCTGGTGGTAGATTCCTGTACATTAATGGCAATAATCAATTTTACATTTATGGGCTGTGAATAATATTGTGACATTGGAACTGTGTCTTGTCATCTGGCAGAGTCTACGAATGCATGTGTTCTGGATTTCAATGCTCTGCTGGCTTCCCTGATGCCAATAAATCTGCTTAGACAGTTTTAACAGCAGGCAATGTGGTCTGTTGGCCAACAGTTGAATTTTATAAGCCTTGTATGTGGAAAGGTGATTAAAAAGAAAATCTCCAGATCAAGGAAAGCGTCTGTCTCTTGGCATGGCCAAATTTTACTATCTTCTCAGCTTGGGGGAATATATGTTTATTTTTAACCTTAGCTTTTAACATATATCTTTAAACCTTCTTCACAAAACAAGTAAGCTTATTATTAAAACTTCAGTTGAATTTATTCTACTTTTATTACTGGCTTATACTCTGGTTTCAATAACTTGCCACTATTTTCAGTGTGATACAGGCTTGCTTAGGTCCAAAAAGATCCCAACATCTTTTATTTGAGGCAATGGAGGGAAAACTTACACACACTTAGTATTTCTAGGCTGTCATTTGGTGGCACTGCTTTTTCCTGAATTACAGAAAACCAGAGGTGAAAGGGTCATTTGATTCAAATACTTGGCTTAGTGTAATATTCAAGAACTTGCCCAAGTGTTCTTCGTTAAATTCTTCTTTAGTAAATTCTAATTTCATGAACTCCTTGACATTTTATCAGAAGCTAGTCTCAATGGCAAATTTCTCAGCTAGAAGGTATGCCAATCATTAATGTCTCTGCTCTGGGAGGTATGTTAACCATTAATATCTCTGCTTTCTTGAGGTACTTTCTTTTCCTTGTTTGCATGTGAAACTGCTTGGGTTAAATATGGTTCAAATTCTGCCATAACAGCAATGATCATAGAAACCCGTCCTGTAGTAACAGATTTTCAAGCTTAAGGAAATTTCTTGTTTACTGGAGACTCATATACTACAATATAAGATCCCACCATAAGCCAAAATAACTGGGTTAATCTCACAAACATTGCAGAAAATGGTTGTGACATAATACTGCCATAGGAACAACAGCACAATAAGACTTGGTGATGACGTACGTCGTCTGATTCCCTGATAAGTTCGGTATCTTCCACTTGGACTACTGCATCAGCACCGCAGGGTATTGGAGCACCTGTTGTAACCCGCATGACTTGTCCTGGCATTACTGTCTGAGTTGGCTGGAAATAAACATGAAAAAGCCAGTTGATGTACTTTGCTGCTGCAAGGAAATGTCTGCAGAGGATGTTAATTTCTTTAATATTTTAAATAAATAAACCATAAAAGAAAGTTTTACAGTCTTATTCATTTTGGGCCAGTGTAATAAAAGCTATCCACAAACAGGTGCACTCACACCAGAGTCTTTAGTTCATTTAAGCTGATTGCATAGGTACTTTAAGGTAATGACTATTTATTAGGTGTCTTTCTTGGTGCTCTGCTTTACTTTAGAAGAACTGCCACTTACATTTGCCACTTTTGCCCCCGCAAATAATGTGAATTTTCCTAATATATGTAAAGTGATTTGAGAGTCTGTAAGAAAAAAAATTGCTAGGATATAAATTATAAATAATAATTACAAAAAAACCCAGCACCTTTATAATTTATTGAAGCTCTGATATTTGAGAAATGCAGTACTTTATTAACTAAACTTTTTGGTTAAATAAAGGCAAGCCAGAAATATTTTAATTGTTGCTTTTGAAAATATTCAAAAACATATTAGCTCACTAATGAATTAATAATAGAAGTTGAGCAAATATAACTAAATCATTTAAAAACGATTCCAGTGTCTGTAATGACCTAGGTTAAATATTACTTTTGAAAATGAAAAACAAGATTTTCATTGTTTGTGTTCTCATACTGATGGTATAAGAGGTAAAACCTGCCCTACTAACTTCTTATAACTTGGTGAAAAGCACTTTTCTGTAAGATTAATCTGATAGATTTGATGTGATCTCAGGAAAGTCACTTGTCAGGGGCAATGATTTAGCTTGGAGTTTTGAAAAGAAATGCTTCAAATTCTGCCTAAGAAAACATCCTGAGACAATATTAATTCTCTATCCCTGCTAAAAGATTTCTTTCTAAAGATGTCTGCCTCGTAAGTATAGTCATGTGCTGCATAAGGATAGTTTGATCAATGTTGGACTGCATATATGATGGTGGTCCCATAAGACTACCATATTTTTTACTGTACTTTTTCTGTTTTGATAAACACTTACCATTATAATTGCATACAGTATTCAGTACAGTAACATGCTGTGCAGGTTTGTAGCCTAGGAGCAACAGGTTCCACCACGTAGGCTAGGTGCGTAGTTGGCTAAACTATCCAGGTTTGTGTAAGTACACTCTATGATGGTCAGACAATAAGAAATTGCCCAACAATGTATTCCTCAGAATATATCTTGGTTAAGTGACCCATAACTCTATTTAAAATCTTAGGTATCTACAATGTGAATATACTTACCACTACCAAGCTATAAGCTTAAAAACTGTTAAGAAGGTATATTTAATGTTATGTGTGTGTGTGTGTTTTGTCATTGTTGTTATTTTAACCACCAAAATAAGATAAAGTAAAATAAACCATACACACACACCTTAGGGAATGGTTAAGAAAAAATACTCTACTACTGAAAGTACAATCAAAGTAAAACTGGAAATTTATTTATTAGAGAAGTCTTAAAAATCTTCTCTCCATAATATTATTACTGTAAACAATACTACCAATAACTAATATTTATTGAACCCACAATGTATGCTAGATAGAGTGTTAAGTGCATTATATATTCTAGAATATAAGCCTTACAAAGACAAAGACTTGTTTCATTTTCTGTTTGCCTCTCCAGATCACATCATTATTGTCTACTCTGTGCTGTGGCCCAGAGGCTGACCTCTAATGGACCATTTTAACCAGGTTCCCATCACTTTGGCTTCTGGTGAGGCTCAGCCAAAGAGAGGGGCCAGTAAGAAATTAGATGGTAGAAGAGAGAAAGAAAAGTAGGGTTTTCATTCCCCTTGTTCTTTTCCTCCTGGGGTACAGTTTGGTGGTGGTTAGGGCATCTCTACTACTGAGGGCAACAGCTGCTGTTGCGCAGTCCTCTCCCATAGCTATGAATCTTCCCAAGTTCGGGTACCATCGTCTTTCTTTGCTCCTTCAGACTAAGAGGTGGTAAGAAAAACTCACTGTTGTTAGCAATCTGGGTGCTGCAGATTCCTTTGTTGATTTCCCTTAGCCCCATCCAGACATTAGAGATAGCCTCTGTTTTAATCTTCTTTAATCATCCTTTTCCCAGACTTATTGCTCTGTTATGGCAAGTCCTAGAAATTATCTGGCATACACTTTGCCAAGCTGAGCACCTATGCATCTGGGCTGAGCTGATGTAGTTGCTCATGTCCTAGGGAAGCAGAGCGCTGGTTGAGCCAAGATACCCTGACCTACAGGCCAAATAACTCTAGTACCCTGCTTTTCTGAAGCTAGGCAATAGCCCCTTAGAGTCTGAGCTGCCGAGATAACCCTATTTCTGGGGAGTTGAGTAATTTCTGTGTTGATTCCTATCCTCCTGGCGATCAAACCACAGCTGTGCTCTGCCATTCCAAGGTATTTGCTGCTGCTGCACCTAGCCTCAGCGTATGAGGCAAGGATCTGTGTGTGTAGCCCCACCATCCATGGGTCTGAAGTCACTACTACACAGTACCTTATCAGTTGCCGCTGAGCCCCATTGGCTCAGTTTCCTGAGCTGCAGCCATACCCTGCTTCCTTGGCCAAAATCTTTTTCTTTGGAGTTTGGTCAGTGCTACACCATACCCAGCAGGTATAAAATCACAGGTACAACCAGGGCACCTGGATCCAAGCTGCTAGGGGGCGCCTCAGAGTCATAAAACTTGGTTCTTTGGATAACCTACACCCAACTCTGCCACAGAGAGTGAACCTGAACCCCAGGAACCAGGTGCCACAATCAATTCACAAGACCTTGGATTCCAGCCCTACAGTCACTCCAAGCACCATATTTTGAGCCCAGTGCCATTGTAGCTGCTTGGAGGACATGTCATACCTGACACCAAGAGGATCCCTTCAGCTGACTCTTCCCTATTGTGAACAAGAATAGGAGGAATCCAAAAGCCCTTGACACCAAGGATATTAATAACCTATGCCAATGCTACCACTGACACAAACTTCTATGCATTAGGCCACTGAGGTACTCACAGTTACTGCTGACATTGAATGCAACTGAAAAAGCTGCATAGAGACTACACCATTGCACCTGTTCAGAAACTCACCACGCCCTTTGCAAGCAGCACATCAAAACCCAACTACAGGTGAAAGTCTTTCTCTACAAAACCACCCTAGAAAGTCTGAAAGAAGCAACAGTTCCACCAGGCTCACAGATCAACATGGGGACACAAGAAACACAAAAAAGCAAGAAAATATGACACCACTAAAGGAATACATCTCTAGTAACAGACTCCAATGAAAAGGAAATCAGTGAACTACTGGAAAAGAAATTGCCAAATAACGATCTTAAGGAAACTCAATTAGACACAAAAAAACACATATTGATAATTCAACAAAATCAGCAAAACAATTCATAAGAATGAGAAATTCAACAAATATATAGAAATCATAAAACAGAACCAAACAGAAATTCCGCAGCTGAATAATTCAAAGAATGAAATACAAAATAACAACAGAGAGCTTCAACAGCAGGCTTGATAAAGCAGAAGAAAGAATTTTGAACTTGAAGAAAGGTCATTTGAAATACCCGGGGGGTAAGGGAGTGAGAGAGAGAGAGAGAGAAAGAGAGAAAGAGAGACAAAGAGAGAGAGAGAAAAAGAGAGAGGAATGAAAAAGAGTGAAGAAAGCTTGTAGGGATACCATACAAGAACAAATATTCATATTATTGGAGTTTCAGGAAAAAAGAAAGGAAAAGGCATAAGAAATTTATTTAATAAAATAATAGCTGAAAACTTCCCAAGTCTGGGAAAAAGTATGAATATCCAAGCCCAAGAAATCCATAGGTCTCCAAATCAAGTCACATATAAGGAAATACACATTAGACTAACAGTAGTTTTCTATGCAGAAACCTTACAGGCTGGAAAGGAAGGAGCTGATATCTTCGAAGTGCTAAAAGAAAAAAAAAATTCTAACTATGAATACTACATGCAGCAAAGCTATCCTTTGGAAATGAGGAAGAAATAAAGTCTTTCCCAGACATGTAAAAATGGAGAGAATTCATTACCACTACGTTGGTCTAACAAATTCTCAAGGCAGTTCTATATCTGGAAGCAAAAGACAATAGTCACTATCATAAAAACACACACAAGCATAAAACTCACTGGTAGAGCAGATTAACAAAAGAGAAAGAGAAAAGAATAAAACCATATCAATATAGAAAACCACCCAATTGCAATGGTAAACAATAACAGAAGGAAGGAGCAAGGGGTAGCAAAACCAGAAAACAGTGAAATGACAGGAGTCCTCACCTGTCAGTAATAACCTTAAATGTAAATAGATTAAATTCTCTAGTTAAAAGATACAGACTAGCTGAATGGATTAAAAATAAAAAACCCAACTATTTGCTGCCTACATGAAACTCACTTCACCTATATGGACATGTATAGACTGAAAGTGAAGAAATGAATCAAGATGTTTGATGCAAATGGAAACCAAAATCAGGCAAGAGTAGCTACATTTATATCAGATAAAACAGACTTTGGCCGGGCACGGTGGCTCATGCCTGTAATCCTAGCATTTGGGGAGGCTGAGGCAGGTGGATTACAATGTCAGGAGCTCGAGACCAGCCTGACCAACATGGTGAAACCCCATCTCTACTAAAAATACAAAAACTAGCCAGGCATGGTGGTGCGCACCTGTAATCCCAGCAACTCGGGAGGCTGAGGCAAGAGAATAGCTTGGACCTGGGTGGTGGAAGTTGCAGTGAGCCAAGATTATGTCACTGTACTCCAGCCTGGGTGACAGAGCGAGACTCTACCTCAAACAACAAAAACAAATAAACAAAAAAACACCCAGACTTTAAGTCAGAAACTGTAAAAAAAAAAAAAATAACAAGGAAGGCCATTCTATAATTATAAAGGGATCAATTTACCACAAGGATACAACAATCATAAATATATATGCACTGAACATGGGATCACCCACTATAAAGCAAGCATTATTTATCTAAAAGGA